ATAAAGAGATGTGTGAGGCAGAAATTGTAAAAATGAGGTTAAATAAATTATTTTATTGTTTTTTTTTAAGTTATGCTAATTCATGAATTTCAATCATGTTTATTTACTATTTTTTAATTTTTTAAAATCCTTTGGTCAGTTTTGAGATATTAATATGATAAATAAGCCTACCAAATTTTATCTAAATCCATTAAAACCTATTAAAGTTATCTTCTAAAAAAAGGGATCCACACACACATACATTCATACATCCGGACAATTGATCAGGATCTCATATAACATGTTTCTATAAAGAAAAAAATTTGTTTCCGCCACTTTGCAAAGTTTTATAAACGAAAGGACTACACAGCTTGCTCCACGAGGAAGCAAAATTAAAATTTTTTTTTTAACTATCCTTATTTAAAAGAATCCAAATGCTAAAAATGTCATAGAAAATCAGTAAATTTTCGTTTTCTTTATTTTATTGAATTTAAGGCGCTTGTAGGGTAACGGCACCAGTGAAGGAACTGACACCAGTGAAAGAACAAATTTCATGTTTTGCATTCTAATTAGTGTAATAAGCAATTTGGTATTATAAATTATATGTTTTTATGTTCCTTATTTAATTTACGTCTTTAGTATCTAAGATACCTAGAGAGTTAACACGTAAATTTTATAAAAAAAAATTTTTTAAAATGTTGTGTTGCAAATTTATCTTCAACAATAAGAACTCTTCTCTGACACGTTATTTCTTTTTTCACATTTAACTAATTTAAACTGCCTTAAATCGTCGGTCTTCTTTAAACTAAATTTATCTTGTGTATTAGAAATACTTCTTTTCATTTAAAAGCTAATAAAATATTAATTTGCCATAAGAAAAGCAAATTCCGTCATTGGGGTTTTTTTTTTATTTACTAGTGAAAGAACAGAAATGTTTTTTCACTGGTTCCAATGCAATCCAATGAAGGAACACCTTCAACGAATAGTCTGAAGTCAAACAAAAAAATGACAAAATCAAATAGGTCAACACTGTTAGGTTACAATAATATTGTCAAAATAAATTGCAACTAGATGATTGATTGTAGGTTATAAATGCATTTTCAATTGGCGATTCAAACAGCTACACTAGCGCCACAGTTGAACTAATTTAGGCGTGACTCGCTCTGTAGCACTCCATGTGTTTTAAATTATTTTTTTTTATTTAACGCTTAAAAATAATTTTACAAACGCAATAAAAATATCAGAATAATTAAATAATTTGAAATAAACTGTCAAAACAGAGACTGCTTTAGAGCGAGTCACGCCTAAATTAGTTCAACTGTGGCGCTAGTGTAGCTGTTTGAATCGCCAATTAAAAATAAGATTCTGCAAACTTAGTTAAAAAATATTCATAATTATCATTAATTTACCTTTATTTTAGTATATTACAAACATTTTATTACTTTATCTTTGTTTTAATATATTTTTTAAATATATTTTAAATATATATTTCACATCGTTCTTTCACTGGATGCAGAAAATTCTTTCATTAGACAATTTGTTCTTTCACTGGTGAAATAGGTATGTTTTACTTATTAATTAAAATTTTAATTAACATCTTATATTTATGAAAATTAAATATGACCTTCGCATTCTACACTTAATTAGCTATCGAAAAAAAATTGGTAAAAAAATTTTCAATAACTGCATTCAAAAATAATAAATGATAAAAGTATGCATTTCCTTAAATGTTCTTTCACTGGTGCCGTTACCCTATACCTCACCGATCCCGAGTATTCTATCGTCGTGCAGCATTGGAGTAAAAGAGACACAATTATCTTTTGTCTCTTTTACTCCAATGCTGCACGACGATAGAATACTCGGGATCGGTGAGGTATACAAGCGCCTTTAGACTATTCAATATTGATATATTAAGTATTAACAACGTGTTTTGAACATTTTCTAAATATCAATTATTGCATTAAAATTCGTCTAAAATTAGAATCTGAGGCTTAACCAATTTTCTTTAGATGATCACCAATTTCTTGGTCAATAAGCTTCGTTTTCCGTATATAATTATAATTTGCAATCGCATTAGCAGGATTGTATCGAACCGTAATAGATCTAACTATCCTTTCCCCATGAGCCCATATTTCAGTTTTTTTCTAAATTTTAAGGAACGAAGTGAATTAATTTGAAAATTGTTACGATATTTGTGTTCATCAGTAAATTCCACTCCGGAAAACACTTACGTAAATAAATATTCGGAAGCACTAATATAGAAAACAATATGATAAAGACTACGTTGACATTTTAGCAAAACAGACTTTTTACAAAAAATAAACTCCTGACTTCGAAAATAGTGTCAGATTGACTTCCAATTTTTACTATCATCTATTGGTATTAAGACGCAAATATACCATGAATGACGCGATTTTTGTGCAAGCCGTCTAAGCATAACAGCAACTAACTAAGCTTGCCCCATCCTCCCCTACCATAAAAATTATGATTTTATTTGATTTTTCTGTTAGGCATGTATTCCAAAGGACATTGAAACTAAAAAAATGATATAATTTTTTTAAAATTGTTTAAATGAGCACTGTTAGAAATTTCTGTCGGAATTTTTTGTAAATAGCAACTGAAGTTTTATGCTGTTACGTGTTACGAAAATTTTGTTACAATTTCGGAATTTTCCGAAACACGTATCAACATAAAAATTCGGAATTCCACGGTTTCATGGATTTGCCCATATATCCTGGACAATTACTGCTCACACCTAGAACCCAACTTTTTCCATACATTCCCATACTTTCACTCCGTAACTCAACACAGACCACACTAACATATCATACAAACATACTCTACTTTTCAAATCATTCTTGAATCTTCTCTTCCTAATCCCCCAACACTTGCCTAATAATTTTACTCGCACTTTCCACTCTTCTATTTACATTCAACTCATGTCCTCCATTATAATTAAACCAAAAACCCAAGTAACAAAACTCATACACTTCTTTAACCACTCTTCCATTTACTTTCCAAACATTCATCTTTTTTTCACAAATCCCATAACCTTTATTTTCTCCACATATCTCCACACATCTTTTTCCCTTACATACTCTTCCAATTCCATAATCAACAATCTCATTCCTACCTCATTTTCCGTTTTCAACACTTCATCATCTGCATAAGCGAATTAGTATATTCTTCCCCTCCCTAATATTACTCCCCTTTTCCTCTTCTTTTTAATTTTTGCTCTAGGTCTGCCATTAGCAGACTAAATATTGTAGGAATCAGAGGACACTCTTGCATTAGTCTTTAACCCTTTCCGTGTTTGAGAAAAAATCCATGATATGGTCCAAAAATATTCAAGCGAATTCTGACCGACAGATTTTTATGAAACTTAGTATATAAGGGTTTATGGGTCGCTGAATTCAAATCTGACATTAAAAAAAAATTCAAAATAGCGGCTCTAAGATGGCGGACAAAAAAAATTTTAAAAACCAACCGGATTTTGCTTTAAATTTGTTACTCGGGGGTTTTTAGGGTCGCTGAATTCAAATCTGAAAGCAAAATTTAAAATCCAAAAACCCCCGAGTAACAAGTTTCAAGCCATTTGGATTCAATTTTTAAAAAAGTCGTCCGCCTTATTGGATCAATCATTTAATTTTGAAAAAAATAAGCTCAGATTCGTAATTAGCGATCCCAAAAACCCCCGACTAACAAATTTCAAGCCATTTGGATTGAATTTTAAAGAAGTCGTCTGCCATATTGGATCCGCCATATTGAATTTTAAAAATCTAACATCATATTCGAATTCAGCGACCTCGAAAACCCTTATGCCCTAAATGTGGGTTAAATCAGAAAATAAATTTTTTTAGTGATTTTTACATGTTTTCCAATTGTTATGATTAATATTAGTTAATAAATAATTACTTAATTATTGTAAAAACTAGAGTCAATGATATCTGTAGTGTGCCAAAGATGATGTAAAAAAATATAATTTTGCAATTTATATATCAAATTGCATATATTATGTGATAAGATGTTCACGACCCAACGTTGGGGCGCTGACACGGAAGACACATACTTTTTTACGACCCAACGTTGGATCGCTAACACGGAAAGGGTTAACCAACCAAAACCTCCGTATAAGCGTGCTACTACCAGTGGAAAATGGTCTGATCCTATCTCTCTTCCTACTTTCATCTTTCTTATATTATTCCTTTCTTTCTCCTCTTTTAACACATAATCTATGATTTTATCTCCTTTACCATTAAAAGTAAAATTTCTTCCCTCATCTCTACTCATATATCCATTACATATTGACCATCTTTCCTCTTCTAACAGCTCCAACATTTTTTTACCTTCGCAACCCACCTCTTTTTGTTTTGTCACTCTGGTATATTTTTTCGCCTCCTCATGCCATAATCATCTCATCCCATTATTTCTGTTGATCCCTCATTTTTCAATTTTTGTAACCTTTTATAATTAGACGGCCTTCCCGGTCCTACTTTCGAGTTTAGCTAAAAATCCCCAGCAACGACTTCATCTGTCAATGACTCCTCACTTCATTCCTGGCTTGTTCATCATCGGCCATCTCCTGCGCTCTCCCGATTTTCCTCGATGTTCTTAACATTTCCCACTTTCTCCGTCTCCGTCTATCGCACTCACTCAACACACTTTCAACCTAAACCACAAAAATTTCTTTTACTTTCTCGCCTTTTAAACAATCACACAGAACACTAATATCACACAAATCACCATACACTTTATCTTTTATACATTCCACAATATCCACCCTTTTAATATAGACTTTATTTCAGCCAATAAATCTATGAGAAATTCCATACGCAACTATATTGAATCAGTATCGGAAACGGAAGCCGCAAAATATTTAATTTTTTTCCAATACATTTTTAGAGTACCATAATATATTTTTTCTGCTATTTATTAAACAATAAATTTAATTTATATCAATTTAGATAACATTTATTAGACAATAAGATTATTTTAAGAACTTAAAAAATTTTTATTTTCAGAACATATTTTACTCACATAAAAATTACAAAAGGCCAGAACTTCAAACTTCACCACATCAAGCTTTTGAAGAAGAAGTGGCATTGTTGGATACATTTTTTCCTGGTAAGTAATCATCTATTCGTTTTCTATAATACCTTGAGTCAAAACACCGATTTAAAAGTTGTTTATATAATACTTGCATAAAAATTCTCACTGTTAATGCATGGAAAACCTAACAAAAAACGCGTTTTTTTGTGGAGGATGTTATAAATACCACCGAGCATGCGCAGATTATTTCTGGTACTTTAATTCCATGATAGTTTTCGGTATCCGAAATGATCATAAGCTTGTAAACGCACTGAAACGGACGACTTTTATAGGTCTTTTAATCAAGAAAAAGCAATTAAATGGATGCAGAAACGATGGTTAATTAAATTAGAAGCAAAAATAAATAATTATTTATTAAAGAAACGTACATTTAAACAAAAAAACAATTATTCTTACTAATTCTAACCTCTGCATTAAAAACATTGTGAAAACGCGTTTTGAACGGAATAGCGTTGAAACACCGTTGGGAACACACAATAAACAATTATGTGGGATTTTGTTAAATATTTGAGAAATACAATAGTCAAAATTAAATGTTTAATCAGAAGGGAATCCTCACAATAACGTGTTCACTATATTTGTTAAATAAATAAATAACTACACTTAATATTTTAATTACTCATTTATTTGATTAGACGCGTATATAATGAGTACGATATAAAGCGTGGTTCCAGACCGATTGTACATTTGAAACGGCGCGGTTATTCTTGCGCAATCTCTTCTCTCACTCTTTGTGTGAGACAAAAGTCGCTGTCGTCTCCTCTCACTTTACACCAGAGAGAGAAACGTCATAGAACTCTACGTTATCATACTACGATCCCCACAATTAATAAGACTTTGACAAGAAAAATATTTAACCCACTGAACGTCGATGATGCTAAAGACTTATTGAATATTCATAAAAAATGTTACTATGGGGTTTTCGGGGTCGCTAATTACAAATTTGATACCAGATTTCCAAAAATCAAAATACGAAATAAAATATAACGAATAGAAAAAAATTAAAACATAATCAAATTCTCCACCAGCTTGTTACTCGGGGATTTTTGGGTTCGCTAATTACGAATATAATAAGATTTTGAAAATTCAAAATGGAGAATCCAATATAGCGGATGAAAACAATTAATCATTAATCGAATTCTCTCAAAGCTGGTTACTTGGGGGTTTTTGAGGTCGCTTATTACGAATCTGATAATAGATTTTCAAAATTCAAAATGTCAGATCAAAAAAATTAAACACTAATCGAATGCTTTGAAAGCTCGTTACTTGGGTAGATTTTTGGTCACTGATTACGAATCTGATATTAGATTCTCAAAATTCTAAATGGCGGATCAAGAAAATTGTATTAATTTTTCTATATTTAGCAAATTAAATAAAAGCTTAAAGGTTGTTTTGAGTATTTAGGGTTTTTTGTTTATTTTTATTTCGTTATGATAACTAAACATTTAAAATACATTTTGTTAATAAACAGTGAACGAAAGGTTATTGAATAAACAACAAAACTTTAATTTAAACTACACTACCGTCGGAAATTGTCAGTACGGCTAACGTGCAAGAAGTAGAAAGGTGCTGACTTTAAAGCAAGATATTTTAAGTTAGAAAAAAGATAGAGACTTTTTACTTAAATGGTTGGAAAGCTGATAAAATTCTGCTTCTCAATGTATATCAAGAAATTTTTTTACTTTTTTTTGGTATTTATACACCGAAAAGATTTCAAGAAAAAATTATGCAATTTTCTACTTTCCTACTAAAGTTTTTTGACTCCCGGCATAATCCAGAATAATGCATGGTAAAATTTGTCAATTTTACAACATAATCTTTAGGCTTTTAGCTTTAATTTGCATTTTTTAAAATTAAAAAATGTTTTGTGGTTTTTGAAATATGTTAAAAAAGGTTTGAGCATGTTTTCCTACAACTCAGCCGTTTAATCATCACTTTTCGCTGCCTCGCTGCTGAGTTGTAAAAAACATTCCCGAAAATTTTTTAACATATTTCAGGAACTATAAAACATTTTTGAAGTATCAAAAAAGCAATTTAATGCTAAAAACTTAAAGATTGTGTTAAAATTTAAAAAAGTAAAAAATGTTTTGTAGTTCCTGAAATATGTTAAAAAATGTTCGAGAATCTTTTCTACAACCCAGCAGCGAGTCGGCGAAAAGTGACGATTGACTGCTGAGTTGTAGGAAAATATGCTTGGACCTTTTTTAACATATTTCAGGAACCACAAAAAATTTCTTAAGTTTCAAAATTGCAAATTAAAGCTAAGAGCATAAAGATTATGTCGTAAAATTGTCAAGAACCCCCTAATAACGAGCTTCCAGAGAATTCGATTAATATTTAATTTCTTTGATCCGCCATATTAGATCCGCCATTTTGAATTTTGAGAATCAAATATCAGATTCGTAATCAGCGACCCCAAAAACCCCCCAAGTAACGAGCTTTGAGAGAATTCGATTAATGTTTTATTGTTTTGATCCACCATTTTGAATTTTGAAAATCTGTTATTATATTCGTAATCAACGACCTCAAAAACTCCCTAATAACGAGCTTCCAGAGAATTCGATTAATGTTAAATTTTTTTGATTCGCCATTTTGATTTTTCGAAATCTGGTATCAAATTTGTAATTAGCGACCCCGAAAACCCCATAGTAACATTTTTTATTAATATTCAATAAGTCTTTAGCATTTTTTTTTTAAATTTGTGTCTAGATGCATCATCGACATTCAGTGGGTTAAATATTTTTCTTGTCAAAGTCTTATTAATTGTTTACTGTGCTGCGTTCACCGGTGTAACCTGTAACTTGCTGTCGATAATCGTTGTCCAATTCCCACAAAAAGTACACAATAAACACATTAATTTTCACTATTTATTACCCTTTCAAATGCTTTAAAATAATAAGTTAATACTTTTTCACTGTTTTTCTATTATTAAAAAATCATATCAAAACACTTTTCATTGAATTATATGAAAATTTGACAGAATACCCTAATATAACAGTGGTCCATATTTTATCTTTTATTTCACTTATTTCGTATTAAATTGATACAAATAAGGTCTTAAATTACTCATGAACACTTTTTCTACAAATACCAATAAATACTTTATCATATTTTATTGTTTAAATTACATTTTTAGTGACCGTTGTGTTCCCAACGGTGTTTCAACGCTATTCCGTTCAAAACGCGTTGGACCCATCCGCTAGGGATCATTTATTTTTGCTTCTAATTTAATTTCCCATCGTTTCTGCATCTATTTAATTGCTTTTTCTTGATTAAAAGACCTACAAAAGTTGTCCGTTTCAGTGAGTTTACAAGCTTATATGAGCATTTCGGATATCGAAAAGTGCTTTATCCGAGATTCTCATGGATTCGTTTACCAGCTATTGAGCTTCTAACCGGAATCCGCCGTTCTCGTATCTTTTATTTTTTACTGGGTACTTTTTTTTACACTTGATGTACACTTGATTGTTGATCTGGATTAATAATAATCTTTATTGATATTTACTTTGGACTTTTTATGAAAAGTTTTCGTTTGCCGTGAGATTCCCTGTCATTTCTCCGAATTCAATTTTCCGAAGGAACTTCCTTCCGAAATACAGATTTCCGATCTTAAATTTCCGAATATATTTTTCCAAATGTTATTCTTTCCGAATTAAAAAAATCTTAATTAAAAAAACTTACATTAAATGACAATATTGTGAGCTAGATTTCTTAAATACTTAAGAACACGATTTTCGTCATTGTATTTGTCGAATTCAAGAGCGATGAGCCTTATTCGTCGTTGAACTGCAAGCTACTTCTTTTTTGGTCCTGCCTTAACAGTTCATCCCAAAGCTACTTCATTAATATAAAATTGTCTCAGAATCGTCTTGCTCTTTCAAAAACTCTTCCAAAGCTGAATACAAATCGGGATGATGTTTGCCGACTACCAATCGAAAGAGATGGTTAACTTTATTTTTATAATAAATATATCCGTCTAAAATAAGTCGATTGCCCACAATTTTTGGAACCGAATTCATAACGAAATTTAATGTAAATTAAAAATTTAGAAGAAAAAGATATGAACAAGAAAAATTTTTAAACGTTTAATTTTCAGGTTGTCAGATATACTACATTTAACTGTTTTTCTTTTATATAAAACAATGCATTCGGAAAATATAACTCTTTGGAATAATGAATTCGTAAAAAATCATTTTCGGAAAAAACCATTCGGAAAACGACTTTTGGAAAAAGTCTTTTGGATAATAAACATGCAGCACGGTCGCGTTTATCCGGATTACCACTAATCCGGCACTCCTTGTAATCCGACAACGTCCTAGCTAGAAGGAGAGGGGTAAAAGGAAAAACTTTGATTAATTAAAGGCGTTAAACTTGTTAGTATTTGTTGACACTTAAATCAAAGGTTCTGTTTTGATTCAGTCAGAAAATTTTCGTGTACATTTCTGTTCTGATTACTTTAATTTTCAGAAAACATGTCGCAATTAAACGGTAAAAGAAAGCATCGTACACTTTCACTAAAAACCTCGGGAAAAAATACCTCATAGACTGGCTGTTGACAGTTTCGACACTTGCTTAGATTGGGCAGAGGAAAATGGAGTTTCTTCAAATGAGCTCATGTTGTTAAGGAGACTCAGAGATAAAGCTCTGAAAGCACGATATAATACATTAAAGCAAACAAAAATCGACAAATATACCAATCCTTAAGAAATAAACACTTTGACAAAAATCATGCAAAAATTTAACAAGATTTAATATGTAGTTCTGTATATATTGTTTAATATATAATTTTCGAATAAACAAATGTAAAATATTATTGAGAAATTCAATTGAATTTTTTTTAAAATGTTAAATTACAAGTGTAAACATAAAGTTTCTTTATTCAACCCGCGTGGAAATAGAACAATGGGTAAAATCATAAAAACCATGGGCGAAATCGATTGCCAAGGTAAATACGATTAGACCCATAGTTTAAACCATGGCAAAAATCTCAAAAACCATTGCTTATGTCCGTTTCC